ATTCCAGATACCCTATTGAAGTAGCATTGAAAATTCACTCTTTTCCTTTTCTCATATCTTCTCATTTTAGCGAAGATCCCTCAGCAAGCCAAAAATGATCGTCTTACTAGATGCTCATCAACTTCCTCGGTGCTCTGCTTCTATGCCCTTGAAGACCGTCCCCGCGCTCAAATAATTCGTAAGCATCCTCTTTGTACAGGTAGTCTGGCCCTCATTCTCTAAGATTATCTCGCTTTTGCGTTCACAGTTACGAAGGTGCTGGCCTTCAGAGATGACAATTTCGACGCCTCCCTAGGTGTCCCGCCCACCAAAACTCATGGGCAACTTCTGTCCCGAGTTCAGTTTTTATCCAGCTTACCACGTGCATCGTACTCCACGAAAACACCGATTGCCCTGCCGTTTTACCGAATACCAAGTAGATTTAGGTTTCCAGAGGCGCGTTTTGGAAAGTTTATAGGTGAAAGCTCGCACCACTGGTCAGTGCAACTGTAACCCCGGCTGGAAGGTTCTTCGTCGCATTCATAATTCTCAAGTACCTTTTTATTCAATTACATCTAAGGAACCGTATCCCCTTCCCCTCTTTCCCCCCTCACGTAGTCTGGCCACCTACCGTGAGTTAATTTGAGAAGGCGTAATTAAAGTGTAGCCTACGAGGCCTACACAGCTTGTCTTACACTTGACGTCACTTTCGATAGCGATGGTTGTTTAATTTCGTTGCAACGGGTTTGTTCGTATTTTAGCTTTACCTCCCGGTTTTTTCTTGAATGAGTAACACCACTAGATTGTTATATTAAACTACAAAAGCTAGCCTTTGTGCTCTGTATTGGTTTGAAATTAGTGCTTTTGTTTTTTTCAGTTACATTGCAGTTGCCATTTGTTTTTATTGGTCGGTTTCGTTATTGTTTCATTTGTTTTCAATATCAACGCATTTCTTGATTGTGTTCGGCAGTTACCGTTTTTTAATGTTGCCAGACATTATTCCTTGAATTACTGTTATTTTTCAGAATGGGTTCATTACCCCCTGCTCTGCTTGCACGTCTTCAGAAGCGTGGAATAGTTAAAGCTGGTAGGTGTGATGACAATGTTTCTAAATTTGTTTGCAAACATTGCCGTATTTTATACATATAGTGCGTAGCAGGGTCAAACATACGTTGCGCGACGAAGGGGTCGTATTCGGCTCCCCTCAGAGCGGTGGGGTCGGCAATTTGCCACGGATCAGTACTGACAGAACAGCGCAGCGTTGGCTTGCGTGATGGTGGCTGCTGACGCCGAAAGGAATTATGTACACGGAGATTCCATGAGAAATGACCAGCGCCTCTGCTGCGACCATTCCCATTTGAATATGAGGAGGAGCTGTACGGAGCCTACGAGCTTCTAAATGGAAGTATGGGCTTTGCAGAGGGGAAGGCAGATCATCATGCTGCAGCTGAAGCTGACTTTCAAATGGAAATGCGACGGGCCGATTTTCGCTGTAGTTGACCTATAGCAGAGATGTTATGAAGCTTAAGCTACAGCGAAGCATTGTGCTCTTTCAAAAGAGGAAGCCTTCTAGTTCCAATGCGTGTAGGACTGAGTTGCGCAGAAAGTCCTTACACCATCGGATCTCCTGTGATGGAAGAAAAGAGGCTTCATCCATCACTTGTGGGCTTGACACTTGCACTAGGTTGCCTTCGAAATTAAGTCTTTCGCTACTTCCACCGATTTGACTTCCACCTTCTTGTTTGCTTTCATGGGCTGCGTTCATACTATACGGGGGAGTAGGAGCATTGGAGAATAGCAGAGTGGGAACGTGCTACTAAGAAAACGTAATTATCGATCTGGCGTTTTGGGAGAGTCTGGGAATCGACGTTTGGGTGAACTTGAGAGCTTTTGAAGATTAGTCGTACAATCTACCACTTTTCTGGTCTCACCCCTGAAAAGCCAGATCAATATCTATACTTCCTCAGTAGCACATCCTTCTGTTCTCCGATTTTTCTAACCTCTTTACGCAAAGTATGAACCCATCTTTAGTTTATGCGTAAAAGGATGCGGACTTCCTGAGTCGCCATAGTTCTGCTCAAGGCGACTCCGTAGAGCGTGGAATATTGGTAATTTGCTTTCATGTTCATATCACATATATGATTCATTTCAGCAAATGAAGAGGTTATTGCTGAAAGCTATGACTCTGCGGAAGCAAAGGAGAAGAAAGCAACTGAAACTAGCTTCTCTGGCGCTCCAGGATGTCCAAATAAATACAATCAGTATCATCTGTGTACGGAATACTGCTATGACCACTGGAGAGAAGGCACCCCGGAGAACAGGTATGTTGCTTGCACACAGAGTGGTTTCATACCTCAAAGCACAGCTAATAAGTATGCATTGCGACTGGAAATATAGTCCAGGTTCTCGTCGCTTGTCACTTCCTGAATAGTGAGTTTATCTCCTCGATGAGCTGTACTTGGTCCATGCCTAGCGTCATGAGGGAGCAGTATTCAGTGCCATGGCACACATTTCCAATTATAAAATTATTATTGGGGTCCCACTCTCTGATAACCAGTCTACCAGAGATCTCGGTTTCTACTACACTGATAAATTAGATTTTTCGGAGCATATCAAAAGGAGGGTACAAACAGCTCACTCACGTATATATCACATTTTCAAAGGGCTATCCACTACAAACCCACAAGTGTTGTTGCGTGCTTATAAGACCTATGTTAGACCCTTAGTAGAAGCTAGCACTACGGTATTCAGCCCTACGAAAAGAAGCACATTTACGCACTTGAGAGGGTACAAAATAGCTTCTCCATGCATAAACTACTGATTAGAACAACAAAATAAAAAAAAAACATAGTAACCTTGTCTACTCAGAAATTGCCGAATGCCCCACACACGATACAACTCCTACAGTATTATCATTCTGGAGTCGGCAGACGAATGTTTTGCGATCTGTGGTCTACGTTCGCAAGAATTATTAAAAGATCGCGTAGGGTCTGGTCCGTAATCGTCTCCAGAAAGGTTCATTCGAACACATAAGAGATGGTCCCATGAGTCTATTTGTCAAAACCAAGACTAATTTACGTGCCAAGAGCTTCACCTTCAGGGCGGGCAGCGCGTATTTGAAGTTAACAAAAGCCATACCTGCCACTTTGTCACATGCTCAGTTCAGACACCGTATTTCCAAAAGGTTATTAAGGTATGGTGGGTCTAGCTCTCTTGAGACTGGTCGATAAGTTGGTGTTTTGCTGGTTAATTACTGTTTTCGAAAAATTGTAACTAACTTATCAATATTGGAACTTGTATATGTAATGTGTTCCGATCTTTTTTTTCTCACGTATGCCTTATGCACACGTAATAAACTTATACTTATACTTATAAGACACTTAGAAAAGTTCAGTGTTTCAGGCTTCCGGAATCGTACTTGAGAAAAAGGCGACGAATGCTCGCTAAGTTCCCTCTTCCAGATCCCTGGGTTGAGGTGTATGACGCGGGAATGGCTAGGCATTACTATTGGAATCAAGATACAGATGAGGTATTATCATACTTTTTTCTTCAGTGTCATTAACTTTGTTCTGGTGTAAATGGTTTATTCATTGCATTCTGTTCGTTTAGGTGTGCTGGGTTTCACCCCGTCATCCCATTGCAGTCATAGGCGAAGCTGCTCCCAAACTTGCCAGAGAAATGAAGGAGAGGATGGAAACTGCTTCAGCCGAAGCTCAGGTTTTTTTCGCACGTTTTTGTCAAGATTGAAACCTTTGTTTGGAAATTTGGGTGTCTGCAGCAATTTCTTTTAGTATTTTTCTGCTCGGTGACATTAAATCTATTTATGCAGTGACCCTGACCCAGTAATCTACAGATAACAACCTCTAGCATCGCAGAGTGTTTTCTACTATTTGTCCCTTATTTGTTTCTTTCCAGGAGAAGAAGTCGGAAGGAAAAGCCCTTAAGTCGGCTCTTTCAAAGAAAAAGAGGGTAAGTTGTTAGTTGGTAGCGGAGAATCGGTTTGGGTCTTAACGTTTTATTTCATTGCAGCGGAATTCTGATGACTCAGACGGCGGAAGAGGTGATGATAGTGATGAAGATTTATCGAAGATTGAGGAAATGAACGAGAGGGACAGACTAAGTTCGTTGTTTTGCGCCGCTTCTTTTTATAATAGGCACTGTTCCACTACTACTACCTTAAAGAATTTTTTTCTCTGGAACTCTTCCTTTAGGGGCTAGTCAGTGCCCTGGTCACGAAAAATGACAATCGTTTTTTGGCGCTGGAGTCAAGTTGTCGTCATTTTGGCGCCACGACGTTTCTCTTAAAAATCGACGAATATTGCATGTGGGAGGGGGTTATTTGACATCCTGATTATTAATATGCCATTCATTCTTGGCGCCGGTGCTAGCTGCGGCACCCTGGTCATCTGCGTTCTGCCAACTAAGACTGAGCCTGGCGGTCAAGGAATCACATCTCAGCTCAGCCTTAGCAGACCGCTAAATGGCGTTGAAATTGAGAAATAGTGTGATGTTTGTGATCTGGACACCAGATAATCCCAGTATGCAACTTTACGCCGAATTCGAAGGGTAGTGTCATACTGGCACTAAATGGCCTCATCGCCAGAAACGAATGTCATATTCGTGATCAAAGAGACTACCTCTATAGGCCAGGTTGCGGCGATTCATTTCTGAGTTTCTTGGAGAAATAGTAGTAGAGTAGTGCCTGAAAATGTGTATTTACAACATAGGTGGAAGAGCTGATTCTAGTTTGACAGTCCTTTCTCATTCGAGGCCGTTTTAGAACGAGCGCGACGAAAGGGTATCGATCCCATGGATCCAGCAGCGTATGGAGATGTGCCTGTGTAAGTTTTTTTATGTCCGAGCACTGTGATATTTCTGTTTTTTCCCCCAGCGATTTTTCATCTTTCTCCTTTGTAACAATTCCTTTTGCAGTGGAAAGTGGTCTTCTGGTCTCCATGCGCATGATAGAACCGGTGCCGATGTAACGGCGGGTGGCCCGCTCTTCCAACAAAGGCCTTATCCAGCTCCTGGTGCCATTCTAAGGCTGCAGAAGAAAAAGGGCGACGACGACTGATTGGACTTATGAGGCTGTGCTCACCACATAATTTAATTCTGTTACTTTTTCCTTTGCGTGCATGTTTTGTGTAATTACTGTGGAGATGAAATAAAATTTGCCCTTCAAAGTGTGCGTTGCGATTCGTCGGCGATCGTGTTCAGAGGCTCCCTTATCTGACATTATTGTGTGCCACCGTCGTCGTTATCTGTTTTTGGAGCGAATTTGTTAGTTGGCTCCTTCCTTTTGCTTTTAACAGTTAAAAAAATACTATACAGTGTCGTATACCAATCATTTTACTTGGTTTCTGTGAACTGATGGACAGATAATTCGACGAAGTCGTGTCAGAGAAGAAGGTGCTGTTCGGTTTGGGAGGGCATTGTGTAATTTCGCTAGTTTCTCTGCTTAGTTCCTGTTAACGTGCACTTTTTATGTTGGAGAGACCTGTAGATCCTTGTCAAGTGTCAACGATGCTCCTGCCATTGGCAGAAATTTATAGGTCTCCCCAGAAGGCATCGTTAGTGATCTCTGGAAACCAGCGAAATGCCCCTAACAAGCCGAACCGCGCCCAGAAGAACTTCAAAGTTTAAGTTTTGAGTAAATTTCCAGCGAATAGCAACACACTGAAATTCAGTGTGTTCACTTCACAGGGTAGCAGAATGTTGTTGGTTCGCTAGGAATCAGGCTTCCGTCCCAACATAAGGTTGGAAGATTTCGTTTCATAATTTGAAAAATGTTACTTTATGATAAGCTTCCGGCTAGATCTGCGGAGTACTTGATCTCTTTCCCTTTCATTGCGTTAACTTCTTGCTTTTGCGGGCGCAACATGGCGTCCTGTGAATCACTGTGACACCACAGTTTCCCACTGTTAACGTATTTTAAGTGCCCTCCTCCCCCCTCCCCGACGGTGTAGTCTCTACCCATTGGAGAGCACCATTTCTGGCTCGCTTTTCTTGCGTACTTTTCGGTGTATTAACAACTGTTGTACTCTCTCTGTCTGCGCTATAGAATTTTGCGACGGGACCGCCAGGTTTCGTTGGCAGAATCGTAAACTAGGAACGCTGCCTAAAAAACCACTTTTCGCCCACTAAATGTTGACGGAACAAGAAGAAAAAAGGGTTGTGTACCTCATTGTTTGCGGCTTGCCTTTCACTAATGCGCTCTGGTTGACTATAGTGAACTGCCAAAGCATGAACTTTACATTTTTTTCTTCAGAAATGGCCTCGGATGCGCTTCAGTTCGTAGTTTCACGGGTATCTGATACTCATAAAACGGTCAGCGACCATTTACGTAAAGTTGATCCGCTCTTGCTGGTCATTGGAGCAGTAGGAGGAACCATCGTCTATTTGAAGGTCAGCCGGCTTTATAAACGAAGTGAGGAGCCTCTTGTTAAACGGTTAGTTTTGATACCTTCTTTGTTGCGGAATGCTTTTTATGTATCGTAGCTCTTCGTTATTTAGGATGGCTAGAGAGACCACCTGTAAAAATATGCATATTAAATGTAAAATAAAAAAACAAAATATAAATGAAATCCTCTTTGGGAGGGAAATCAGGGGAAACAAAAGTATTGAAAGAGTCGTACACCGGCCGCAAAGACATTTTGGTCGTTTTTTTATCGACCTCTGATCTTTCTTTGCTAAGATGTTCTCGCTCGTTAGGCTTCCTGGAAGTGAAAGAGCGATGTTTTTCTCCTCAAAACTTTCCATACACCCAAATACGCGATCAGAGCACGTCGTACTAATTTTCTCAGCAAAATATGTTTTTGTTCTGGTTGGTTGTTGACTTAACCCCGTTTTTCTCGCTTTTGGCTAAAAACCTTCGGGAAAGTGGTAGGAAGGTGGGATAATTGAGGAGATGGTAGGCAGGACACGAACTGTACCAGAAGAAGAGATTTTGAGGGACGATCGCACGTTGCAAAAATCTGTACTTGATATCGTCTCTCAATGGGGAGGGTGCATGGGTGATCCCGACGGACCTTCGTATCGAAGACATTCTTTGACTGCATTGCATCACGGATTTTTTTTAGACTGGCGGCCTACGCCTTTTCTCAATTTCGTCGCCTGCCAATGGTAAAAGCAAAAATTGAAAAGGAACTAGGCGGGCGCTAAGAAGGAAATACTGGAAGCTATTCATAAAGACGACACTGATAGAATATTCTTAGCAGGTACCAATTTTCGTAAAAAAAGAACCGAAATAATAGTAGATTGGTTTGATAAGTTAATTCAAACAGAATTACCAAACAATGGTTTGTCTGCGGACGCCGTGGTAGGACTCGCAGAAAAGTACGATTCGTATGGCAAGTTCGACATTGCCGAGGGCCGAGTTTCGGGTGCCGTTTATACCGACAGATCTCCTGAACATATTGCTCTACTTACCAAGGTACGGGGAGAAAACTTACCATTTGCAATAATGGTAACTCCGTTTTTCAGATTTATGGCAAATATGCCTATTCAAATCCTCTTCATCCTGATATTTTTCCTGGTGCGCGGAAAATGGAAGCAGAAACGATCCGCATGGTGAGAATCTATAGTTGCTCTTAGTTTTTTTTTATGAGATTAGCTTCTTTCATCATAAGGATGATCTGCAGGTTCTCAATCTCTACAACGCGCCACCTGAGAGTTCTGGTAGTTTAACAACTGGTGGAACTGAGTCTATCATAATGGCTTGTATAGCCTACAGGAACAGGTAACTTTTATTTCAGTGCGGTTGTTGGGAAATAGTTCTTATAGATCTCGAACAGCTTGCAAGAATCACACTTTCAGGGCTTTCAAGATGGGTGTGGAGAATCCTGTGATTGTTTGCTCGGAAACCGCTCACGCTGCTTTTGATAAGGTCAGTGAATTTTGCTCAGTTTTGTGAAAAGGGATCAGCGATGTTCCGGCTACAGTCACCGTAACTAAGCAAAGTACTTCGAAGGCTAAATGACTTTTCTTTATCCTGCGGCTACTAATGTAAAGTTCCAAATTTGGGACCGTCCTACGGACCCAGCTGGGGGGGGGGACGATGGAGCCTTGCTTACGAGTAACTGCGAGCGCGGCGAAATAGGCGTTACGTGCGGGATGACATGAGCAGCATTCGCACCACGTGTCACTCCAATCAACGAGCAGTGCTGTGCTGTGCCTATACAATTCTCTAATAGACCTGCTCTCTCTCTATTTGTGTCTACTACGTTGCCTAGCTAGGAAACACTTTGCTTGTGCGCGCGATACTGCGACTCGGAAGTAACGCTCCATAGCTATATGAAAGGGCGAAGTATACTGTCGCCCGCAAGGCTCGGTTCTAGTATGGTGAAGATGGCTAGAGTTCGCGCTCGGCTTCCTCTCAAAGCGGACTCCATTGTGCCACTGCTTACCCCCCCCACTACAGTAAACCTCAAACATGTTTCCATTCACCTCACATGTGAACAGTGCGACTTGGATAACGCATGTATGATATTTACCTGCAGGCTGCCTTCATTTGTGGTATGCGCGTTCGCCATATTCCAGTGGATGAAAATAACCGTGTCAATCTGCACAAAATGGAAAAAGCGATAGATTCTGATGTTTGCATGGTGAGTGGCAAAGCGTTTTGATAGCAGGGCCTTGAAGGCCTAGCACGCAACTCAATAAGTTTGAAGAAGAATATTAATGTTGCAGCTCGTTGCTTCAGCGCCAAATTTCCCATCGGGAACCGTCGATCCTGTCCCAGATGTCGCGAAGGTGAGTACCAATCTGCTGCCACGCTAGGATTTTTAATGAAGCCTATTTTCGATATCTTTGTCCTTTCAGCTGGGAAAGAAGTACAATATTCCGGTACATGTTGACGCTTGTTTGGGAGGATTCCTTATTCCTTTTATGGATGAGTGTGGCTATGATATTCCCGTTTTTGATTTCCGTAATGAAGGTGTTACAAGCATCAGCTGTGACACTCATAAAGTGGGTTTAAGCTCTTATGATGTTTTGATCTAGTGATTACCGCGAGTAGTTTCTCTTCAGTATGGATGTACGCCAAAGGGCAGTTCGATCATAATGTATCGATCAAAGGAATTGCTACATTATCAGTACTTCTCTGTACCAGAATGGACTGGAGGCATCTATGCAACGCCGACCATTTGTGGTTAGTTCTCAAACTTTTAGATTTTTAGAAGAGGCATGTTCAGATAGGACCACGTTGATACCTCGCTGCTCATGTGGCTCGCTCGAACCATTTTTAAGTAGCGCGAGTGCAACCGACGCCATAGAAGAGCTTGCTCAGAAGTTAGGGCTCAGTTCCAGCGATTAGCGCGGTCACTGGCAGCCACGCGATGCTATTGCTGGAGTCGCGAAGTGGATGCGACCACATATAATGGAAGCAAAATGTTTTAGTTTCGATAAATTGATAACTCCCCGAGCGCGCACTGCGGCGTTAAACAGCAGTTTTCGAAACTAAAACAGCTTTATAACATGTAAAAGCCTTCAGCCTCGCGGTTTACTGCCGATATCGGCTAACCGGCTCATCACGTTGAAGTGAGAGTGCTGTAAGGCCACGGCACAAAATGCCATTGAGCTGAGAAGGCGAAGGAGGCCCCGGTAGCGTGATGGATAACGCAACCCCCGGCAAGCGGGAGATGCGGGTTCAAGTCCCGTCCCGTGTCCGACTTTTGTCAGTATGTCAGCATTCTTGTGAGAAGCAAAATGCCTTGTGAGGACGAATTACACCGTGATTGTTGCAGGAAGTCGCGCTGGTGCAAACTCAGCTGCAGCCTGGGCCACTCTTTTGTCGTTCGGCAAAAGGGAGTATGTGAAGAGATGTCACGCGATTGTCTCTCACACGAAGAAAATAGCTGCTGGAGTGCAGAATATTGCTGGACTTGAGGTCAGTGTTACTATACAGCGCTTTTGTAATTCTACTGAGTCTTTACTTACACAGCATTTCTCAGCTTCTTATGCACAGTCTATATCTCGGTACCCATCACTGTAAAGACAGAGACAGTTCAACCCTCTCTGCCTAAAGTTGCGCAGCCACCGCGATCACAGTCCCAGGCTCAACCAGTTTGTCGGCGTCAATCCTTATACGTAATCTGATCCCTATTCTCTGAGACTGTCCCACTACCATTGCCTCACAGTAAGTAACAAAGGCGCAGCGGTCCTCAGAAGTGGCAATTCTGGCGCCTTCGTAGTTGCCCCACCCTTTGAAACTCAAAAGGATATTTCTGTCACGAGTTTGGTTTTACACTGTTTTCATTTTTTACTGTCGGATGGCTCTAGCATTGATTAGCGACTGTAGGTTTGTAACTGAACGCCACTATCCACAGTATGCAATTGCGGGGTTTGTTCTAGTCAGCTAGTGCTCGCAGGGAAGGTGCCGATTATTTGCTTGTGTCTCACTCTAGATGCTAGCTTCAAACGCAATGAGGAGACTTAGGACAATGTTCATGTTACAAATAATCGAAGGCAGTACAAAGTACACACGATAAAAAAGACATCATATTTCGTGGCGAAAAGGAGCGAGATCACGTCGCCTTGGTAAGCGGCTGCGTCGCCCTAAAGGCAGCTAGACAGGAACAGGCTACAGGCTCCAAGCCTGACATACGGTCGACTGTTCGTAGCTTCCAGCTTCCGTAGTACTTGGCTAGATGTGTCCTGTCCAGCGGTAGCTGCACTCACTGAAAGAAGTAGGCGGATGGCAAAAACAGCTGAAGATTCACGTGTTTGCTGCTGGCAAGAGGCTAAGCTTTGGTGAGCCATGTACAGATGTCTGAGACCTTGAGTAGCGTAATAGGGAACGCAACTGCCCGGTAAGCAGAAGATGCGGGTTCGAATCCCGTCCGTGGTCCGACTTTTGCCCATAACTCAGCATTCTTGTGATAGCTTGTTTGAGACCTTCGGAGCACTCCTTCAGGTGGGCCAAAATCGTAGAAAAGTCCTCGCTCTTTTCCACTTTCTCTCGTGCTACGCTATCCAGGTATCCTGTAAGAGGTATGATTCCTGCTTGGTATGATTGCTGTGAGGTTTAACATGTGGAGCTCATCCGCATAACATCCTCTAGACGGCGCAGCAACAAAGACTACTGCAAGCGATCCTCTCCTGATCCGGAAAATGGTACTATTCTGAATAACGGCCCATCCGGGTTTACTGATGCAACAATAGGTAAAGACTAATGTCCTCACTTACTGCAGCAAAAGAAGAATTCAGAGCAGAGTTTGAGTTCAATCGTGTGCGTCAGCCGAGTTGTTTGCGCAGTTGAATCGCCCCGTACTTCGGCTATGGCGAGGACGGTAGCATCTCGAAGCGTCCTCGTATTCCCTGCATGAACTGTAGCTCTGTCATCCGTGTCTAATAGAACATTGGCGAGATTGTCTAGAACCACCGTTGTTGATCTTGAAGACAGGGCAACTGCCCTAGAAGTATCAGCAGAATGGATCCGTCACAGTGTCGCAGGAGGAATATCAGAGGACCAGACAAACGTAGCACTCAAGAACTCGAAATTCGATGTGAATGATTACCGTCGTCCGTGATATGTGGGCCGGGCCTTCCAATGAGGACGCGCGGTCCGTAACTCGCAAGGCGATGCAGGTTCCCAGCGGCACTTGGGAGGATCGTTGTCACGTCTTTGATCATCGATGTGGTTGCTCAACTGAGATAGAGCGCAAAAAAGCTGCGAATGAATGCCTGGGATAGGTAGCTTCCAGCTACTGTATTACACGCCCTGAAAAGCCTTCATATTGTAGACACTCCCATTCACATTCCAGCACCGAGATGTGGATTTTAGTCACTTTGATCACCATATCAGTTCTGCTTACGGATGATTTTCTTAATATGAAACGATTTCTTTTTTGGCGATCCGAGTATTAGGCGATAGATCTTTAGAAGTATACGTATTCAGAACTCCTTTGCTCATTTTCTTTATTCTTCAAACACCGATGTTCCAGCTGCATGGTTCACCTGACGTGTCCGTGGTTGCCTTTAAAAGTTCTGCATTCAACATCTATGCAGTTAGTGACAGACTGAACAAACGAGGATGGAACCTGAATACGTTGCAGAATCCAAACGCGTGAGTGACCGAACGTTGTACTAGTTCGCTGTGGACGAAGGGGCGTCAGGTGGGATGAATCTGGCGCTATGCCGAACCCGTTCCCCACCAGTTGTTGAAGCGAGCAAGTGACAAGACTGTATCATATCGTTCGTATCACTCGTTTTCTACCAATTTTTGTCGCATACCCGCTTCAACAAGTGGCAGAGAAGGGGTTTGGCACTGCGGCACACTCATACTGCCAGCCATCCCCTTTCATCGGCGAACTAGAGTGTACATACGCGCTTTGTAGAAAAGGATTACAGTAACTATATTTAGTATTCATATATGTCTCACCTATAATCATGCTAGTCAAGAAGTCGTGGACGCATTCCTGAAAGATCTCAAGGAAGTAGTTGATGAAGTAAGCAGAAGTGATGATAAAGGGAACAAAAGTAGCACGGTGAGTAATCAGTGTTTCTTATTTTTGATCCGTTTTCAGTGGGGACATTTTAAGGCTGCTCTCTACGGGATGGCTGCTCAAATTCCTGACAAATCATTGGTGGATGAAATGACCTTCGAGTTTCTCGATGCTTGTTACGCAAAACCACCTCAGCACTGATCTGGAAGTGTTTCGATATCTGTGGCCATTTATTTCTCACGGTGATCAGTCATTTCCTCTGCAGGGACCTCTGATATTCTAAGTCATTCACTATTCATTTCTTCAATTATTTCTTTACTGATTCATATTGTCACTTGAAAGTTCCTAACATATCTATTTTGCCATTTTTAATAAGTTTGTTTATCCTTTGTATAAATATTTATGCGGACTTGCACCTGAGCTGAGAGCCGGTTAGTGCAGTAACTATTTTCTCAGATTGTCATTGAAAGAACCTTGAACTTGCTCGACCGTTACCCTATTTTCGGGGTATAAGCCGACTTGGATCATTTCAAGTGGTGCCATAACTTCGCAGGAGAAAACTTGCGCGTTTCCCTGTAACTGTTGTCGTCGGTTTGCACGCGTGGCCAGTGTTTGTGCGGCTCGCAAACTACTTTTGGCCTTATAAACAGGTGGTACAATGAAATAGTGATTAGGTGTGGAAAAAAGGTCCTGTCATGGTATTTTGAAAAGGTTACAGCTTTTTATTCTTGATGCTTGAACATGACATGACATGCTGTGCTTGTAGCACGTTAACCTTTCCCGCAAAAGTTATATCAAGGCGCCGGTCTTCCCTGGGTTTAATGATGATGTCACTTTCACAGGAGCAGCTTCGAGTCATTACCTTTTAAGAATGGCGCCGCAGCAATGGGTCAGCTGTCTAAAACATCGAAAGCTCATTGGGAGAGAAGAACACCACTACAATCAGAGCTGTCCACGCGCTTGTTCCCTTTGCGCGAAAGAGAACGATATTCCAGGACAAACCACGATCGCAGGACAGCCTCATCGAATTGTTAAGACCTACGTTTCTCACAGCTGCGACACGAGATGATTTTGAGCATCCACCACGCCTGCTGAACAAGACCTCGGTGTTACTTAAATGTTCAGTCATCAATCGCTTAAGCCCTCGGCAACTGCCTCAGGTCGGATCACTCACGATTTGAAGTGGAGTTGCGGTGCACTCGGTACCTATTGCGTCAGCCTCAATCTTCGCCGCCCTCGTGAAAAAGGTTTCCTAATGGGCTTTCCAGGAGAAAGACTGGTCTGAGAAGACTCCACCGGCAATGCCAGTCCAGGACGTTTCCTGTGTTGCCATCTGGCAACGCGAAGGAACTCTGCACCATGAGCTTGCTCTCTGAGAAAACACAAGGCACCGCTGCTATTTATGCCACTCAGCTCCAGAAAAACCTGGAAAACATTTGGAGAAAAATGACCGAGACTGCTTCGGACACTGTTCCCGTTGACGAAACCTCACAACACTATGAGAACCTGCCAAAAAATTTGGAAGGAAGGCTGGGAAACGCATACTCCGCCTACCATACTCTCCTTACATAGACCCCTAAGACTACTAGCTGTAAGGCTTTCTTAGCTAAGAAAACTTTCAGCAAGTTTGATGACATCAGTCGAGCATTGGAGCGCAGGCAAGGCAGCGTTTCCCACCTATTGTTGCGAACTCACGGGGCAATAAGTAGAAATAAGGGCACCATCAGCTACGGCTTCAATCCCCCCCCCCCCTCGGACGCCCTCTCGTTCGCACAGTACGGTAACTTCAGAAGGCGAACAACCAGACACACAACATGTATTTTGCGCATACTAAAGTGAGTAGTAGTTTTCCGCGGTTTTCCTATCAAACTTCCGATGCCACAGAGGTACAAAATTCTTTGAGTAGCTAGAAGCCAGCTTGTATTCCGCACCTGGAACTCTTACAACTTGTTTCATACCTTGTGATGCAGGTCTAATAACGGATTGCCGTTCTAGAAATTTCATGCGAAGCATCTATGGTGAAAATGAAACTAACTGTAGACATATTGCGTTACCGTATCTTGACGCAATGAAGCCTACTGACAGATTCATATTTTATACGAATTAGCTTTTCAGGATGATATTGCGGATACGACAGAACCTTGCGCTTCCTTTTATAAGACGTTTTGCTTCAGTGAAACCGGAGAAAACACCTGAGCCCAAGTTCAGCGAGTCTGCTGCTTTTCAGGTGAGTTTTCCTTCGTTACGGACATCCGTCTATTCATCCATATCATAGCCTTGAAATTAGTCTAAGAGGAATACAGGGAAAAATCAAACGGGGTGCTGGTGTTGGGCGACCAGCATATCAAATGGACTATTATACGAGCGATGAATTTGGAAAAAAGAAGTTAATATCTGCTCTTGGTAGTCTTGCAATCTTCATATTATACTTCGGCTACTTGAGGTATATTATTTTTTTTCTTTCCGTTACTATAGATTTACGAATCGAGTTATATTGCAGAGAACCATCAGATTTGGATGAAATTTGGAGTGCACCCCCACATCTTCTGACTGCCAATCTTGAACGAAAAATGCTTCGTGAACAGATTAAGCAGGTAAGTAACGATGAAGGCACACTGTACGAGTGAATGAGGATTGGTTATGCGAGATGGGCTGGTCCGGAGCCATGAAAGCGTAGCAACCTTGCGATTCAGATGCCTGTGATCGCTATATTTCCGTGGTCGGTCAATGTTCTTTATGTCTCCGCCCACTGTTCGATGCGCAAGACGCGCATCAGGACCACGCTGTAGGCCTTTCATGCGCCTAACTATAGCCAGACGCCCTATGCTATACGTTCCCTCAAGGGGAAGATATCCCCGATAAACCTCCGCTTCTGCCGTTACCCCTACCAACAACCACCCCCCGTCTCTCTGCTCCTCCCCCTCTGCATCTCTGTTCCTTCCTCTCCTGGAACCCCCCAACTTAACGACATCCGTTGAGGGAGAATGAAAAATATCGAAAACACTCTGTGCTGCATATGGATTACTTGTACTACACTATGTTCGTTCAGAGCGTGCTCCGGGACAGTATGGATGCAGAGCTTCGGGAACCAGAGAGACGAGGGGCAACAGTAGAGATACCTGGAGATAGTGAAGGTTTACTTGGGGGATCCACCATTGGGATAACGTGTTAAATAGAACAAGCATGTAAGGACGCAGCAAATTGAAATGCCTCACTAAGTATTCAGAAACATTACTCTTAATTTAGGCTGAAAGCAAGGGCGAAGATACCACTCTGTTGAAAGCTCAACTCGATTATGTGGATGTCAAGGAAGCCGCTCTTAAGATACAGTTTTCAAAGGATGATAAGAAGAAATAAAATTTGCTGTCTTCAGGAAGCATGTACTCATCGACTGTAAACATTTTCTTGATCTTGTTCATATGTATCTTGCAATACATCCACTAGAAGAAGTAGCGATGCTAGCCTCAGATTCTGCAGAAAACGAGTATGAAAGTGTGCTAGCGCTCTAGCTAAGACATAGATCTAGCCATATCTAATAAGAACAACCAGTTGATAAGGGTAATTTGACACCGTGGCTTCCCGAACAAGCTGCACCTGGCCTTTGCCCTTCTTCTCTTCGTTTAGTTATTTTACTCGTTTTATGGACCTTTTTGTCAAATTACTTGGCATTGTCACGTTGGTTCTTATGTTCATATATTTGATTTAAAACGTTCTCAGTAAATTACGTAATAAATGTTCAAATGTTACCGAAGATAGGAAATACAAGGACAATGTATTAGTAATAGAAAACGCGGGATGGGCACTAAGCAGAAAGCTATCATGAGTTCCTGGCGAGGGAAGGCAGCGCCCTGAAGATAGGGCACGCCATCGTTGTGATGATCACAACGGGGAGGGGGGGGGGTCGATCCGGTCGTTGCTGGGAGAAGGACTGCCGGAGATTTTTACGACTACTATTTCTGACAGTTGAAAATGATAGTTGAAGTCCTCACGACCTCCCCCGCTCGACGGTAAATTTTGACTGAAAAACTTTCGGGAAAAAATGGAAAAAGTGGTAGGAAGTTGGGAAAATCTAGGAAAGTGGTAGGTAGCATGGGGAGGGGGGGGGGTCGTATTTGAGGATGGAATTAGGGGGGTCGTATTTTTCAGGAAATGATCACAACGCAATGGCGTGCCCTGCCTGGAGATGGGAAAGGAAGGTCGGGCTCAGCAAGAGATCGGCTGTCCCAATCGTTAAAGCTTGGCTTCGCCACGGTGTCACACTCAGGAAATACTGCCACATCCAGAAAGAATGCAAGCTTGAAACGGCGTGGCCCACCTCGCATTCTGCTGCAACTTGCGGACAAACGATCTCACTATCAGTTAGGATGATTGTTCCGCCTGAGAGTGGAACGAGAAGCAAGCGAGTATGAAAAACCCCTTC